ATTCATTATTGAATTTGGTTAAACAATTTCTATTGAAATTTTATTTCTGAATAACAAGTAAACTTAATAAGCAGTTAAAAATGAGATGTCCAAATAGAGTCATTTTGCAGATTTGTTGCATGTTCATGACTTGAAAACATTAGAGTAAAAACCATGAACATCTTCGTTTCTATTTAGATGGATATTTATCATTATTTGCGAGATATGTCCAGGATGGTTTTACTTTAAAACCACAAATAAAGTTTTAACAATGGGCATTTTTCTTGTTGAGAGGTCTGTGGTCAGACTAAACATCTCTCAGAACCTGATTAGATCCTGAGGTTTTCAAATTCAATATTCAGCAAATATAGATCATTTCTTTGGCCATAAGAAATAATTAAGAACTTCAGAGCTAATGCAACTCTCCTGAGCCTGCTGCTTTTTTTTTCGGATGACATGATAATCAGACAACCTCTTCTGGGGTTGGGCCTCACCATATTTGAGATTGAGGCAGCATAAATCACACACAATTAATCTTTTGAAACTCTAGGTGACAATGCTTTAGGTTTTTATATCAGCAAAGCCCTTGTTTGCTAGTACTCAAGTTATGGGAATTTTATTTATTATTAAATGTTTTCCTTTTCCTCACTCCCAATTATCCTGATCCAGAGAAGTAGACACATGGTCATTATGTGAAGACAAAGGAACACTGAATAGCTATATAACAGCCAGAACTGTTCACTGTGTATTCATTCTTGCAACAGATCGCTGGATGGTAAATTAGCATATTTAGTTTGAAATCCTGTAAAATAGAAATGGGATTGAGTAGTTGCAGTTTATGTAGTAACCTCATACTTCATGGAGATTTGACTCAGAATAACACAAAGCTCAGAATAACGGGGAAAGGAATGCTCTGTAAATGGTCCACATTGCCTAGGTACCTCCACTGACAAGATGTATTTGATAGTGTATAAAATCCTCTTTTCCTGTATAAACACAGTATCATTGTAATCTTAGAGAGTACATTTGCTTTCTCTCAGAAGCTAACTCCCTTCAAATGATAAGTCTAAGATAAAGTATGCAGAAGTCACTGAATTGTAGCATTTTCATTGCTGGGAGGGACCTCCAGAGGTCACCTAGTTCATCCTGATCTCCAGCCAGGACTCTTCCTAATACTGAATATAGCTGTACAGCGATCTGCATTAAGAAAGCTTTTAAAGATCCCTGGGGTTGGGCAAAAAATAGCTAATATTGGCCTGATTCATAGAACAGCATTATACGAATGTCATAATAGCCACCTTCATCAAGGAAGACATCCATCAGGGCTAAGTGCTAGTACTAGCTTCAGAAGGAAAAGCTTTATTTTCTCAGAGAAAAGGGTGGTAGATTAAGGAAATGACCAAGCACGTTGGTATTTTGTTGTTGTTTAGGTGTACACTTAAATGCTTATCAAAAAGGAAACATTGTCATGTCAAAGACCCCTGCAGGGGAAGCCCAGGGGTGGCTGTAAGCAAGCAGATCACAAGTCCTTTAACAAGTTCTTTCAAATAGCAGCAGAGCTCAGAGGGGGGCCGTTGTTTCAAACAAGATTCAATTAGCATCAAGTTATTGAAGGGCAGATGGGGAAACATAAGAATAATATTGACAGACCTGCTTTTTAAGTGATATCGTTTTCCTCTGATCAGCTGAGTTGGTTAGAGCTGATCATTTTATTTCTTGAACTCCATTCAACTATAGGTGCAAAGAATGAGAACTTGAGTGTAACTTCAATTTCCTAAGAGAACTAATCACATTGATCACATTGCTGCTTTATAGGAAAGGTAATCTTTCACAGTTGCTTAGATTTACGAATCATTAGATTTGAAGCATTCTACTGGAATCTAGAAACCTAGCTTGAAAGAGCTGAGATTCTTATCTGAATTACTTGGGCCTTTAAGCCTTTCTGTTGAACTAAAGAAAGAACTTAAAGACATAGCTATAAAATGAGGAAAATGATCTACTCCCAAAAATTATTCCAAGTATCCACTTGATTTTGTGTGTTTATATTTCATCTTTTTATTCTCATATTTCTGCAAGGTTACATAAACCCTGGTCAACTACGAATGCCTCCAGAAATGAGAAATGAGAGGTAGGGTGGAAACAGAGAAGAAGTTTTGAGTTTTTTTTTAACCACATACTCTCTTGTCCACTTTCAAATTGGGTGCTTGTACTTCTTTGAAATAATTTATTTGAAAATATTTCATTTTTGAAATCAGAAAGACACCTTCTGTGCTTTGTGCTCAGTCTGGGTTACAGGAAGTAGAAACTTGTGACTACTAGCCTTTTCCAGCCTTCTTTGTAACTCTTGACTTTGGAAATGGGAATTCAGCCAGTCAGAACTTTTTGATGTGCAGCTGCCTTTCTCAGAGAACACTAAGAAACAAAGTCTTCAAGTCACCTTTCCTCTTCCTTGAGGACAGGAGACAAAAGAACAAGATATCCCCTAACTGTCTCCTTTTCTTTACAACATTCTACAGTAGGCACCCAATACTTGAGTTAATGTGCAGACTACACACCTACCATAAAACTAGGACACTGTAGGTAAGGAAAGTATTTCCCATAGTTACCTGGACATTTGGCAGAGTAGTTTTCTCTCTTAAACTACTCCGATAATTGTCCATAACTTGTTGGGTGTGTACATAACCTGTAAGAAATATTATTTTTAAAAGTTATCAGCCAGGTGTGGTGGCTCACACTTGCAATCCTAGTACTTTGGGAGGCCGAAGTGGGCAGATCACCTGAGGTCAGGAGTTCAAGACCAGCCTGGCCAACATGGTGAAATCCCGTCTCTACTAAAAAAAATATGAAAAATTAGCCAGGCATGGTGGCTCATACCTGTAATCCCAACTACTCAGGAGGCTGAGGCAGGAGAATCACTTGAACCCCGGAGGCAGAGGTTGCGATGAGCCAAGATTGTGCCACTGCACTCAAGCGTGGGCAACAGAGCAAGACCCCGTCTCAAAAAAAAAAAAAAAAAAAAAGTTATCAACATAAATTCTCATAGCAGAGTCAAGTAAATTCAAGCACAGGAAACGGAATCAACTTTAAAGAAAGTGAATTATGATGAAAGAGAGTAAGAAAACAGAGAGCAGCAGATTCTATAATTTTTATTACAAAAAAAAATCCTTTACATGCTATGACATTAAATGTCACTTATAAGGTCGTTGCAAGCAAACCTTTTAAAAACTATACATAATGTATATATTTACATTCAAATTTGAATAACTGATGTCAAGATACAGTTCATATTCTACTCTTTACCCACTCTGTGGATTTGTTCAGCTAGTAACTAAACAGCGATTGTATCTTCACTTAGGCACATGGAGAGGTAGAAACCACTTTTTAAAGAAAAAAAAAAAAAACTGGAGTGCAAATGTGAAGATCATTGAAGCAGCTTAGCTCTATCGAGGAAACCCTAACTAGCTTTGGTCATCTCAAAAAGCTAAATACATGTAGCCTTGTCTTTTCAATTAAAACCAGAACAGCTTTGGGCAGGTGCTCTTCTGAGCACATCAGAGGGCTGACAGAACTAATGGTCTGCCACTCTGCACCAAGAATTGCATACGACTGAGGCAAAGACAGCAGCAGAGCTGGGCTGGCAGCTGGTCACCTTTTCCCTGGTAAGACACAAATCACAACCAAACAAGTGGCTTAGGAGACAGCCAGTTAATATCTGGACATACAGTCTGGAACTCAGAAGCCAACTAACGTACTTCATTTCCCAAGTGAAATCCCTACTCATTTGTGTTCTCCCACCTCCATCCCAAACTGAGCTCCTAAGTTTAGATAGGGACGGGGGTGGCCTGGGACTTCTGCAAGCCGTGATTTCTTGGCCCTAAGTCCCGGCCTCACGAAGGCTCTTGGGACTGAGAAGGGCTGCCCGGGTTCTTGCTAAACTTGGTGGGTCTCGTTCCAGAGAGGGGAAGTTGGAGCGGAGCCACAGGAATGGCCGTGGCCAGAAGCCCTTCTCGTTCCCTTTTCTTCTGTTTCATCCTGCGGTTCTGGAACCAGATTTTGACTTGCGTGTCATTCAGCTGCAAGCAGTTGGCTATCTCGATGCGTCGGGCTCGAGTTAAGTACTTATTGAAATGAAACTCTTTTTCCAGTTCTGTCAGTTGCTTGGTGCTGAAATTCGTGCGGATCGCGCTGGAGGGGCTAGCCGCCCCATACTCGGCGAGTTTGCCTGAAATGTAAAGACAGGGCGTCAGGGGGGCCAGAGGCCGGGGACAGAACGTGGGCTAGCAGTGGAGCTAGTTAGAATCCAAGTCCCAGCGCAGCCCTCCGGGGTCCCTAGGAACACAGTTTGTGCCAGGAGAAACTCCACGGAGAGCTCCTTCCTGAAATTTTCTCAATGCCAGGCACATTTTCCGAGTCTGTTCTCGAGGCAAGCTCAATGGAATTCGCCCGGGAGCGCGTCTCCTCCACAAAACCCCAACCGCTGTCTGGAGAGGCAGCGGCGCCGCGCTCCCAGCGCAATTCCGCGGGGGAGTCTTGGACCCCAACCTCAGATGGCCCCATCCAAGGCCCGCGGACTTACTTTTCTTAGGAGCGTTCCTCTTCACTTTCATCCACTCGAACGTGCTGAAGGCAGCGGGGAGGCCGGAGGCAGGAGAGACGGACTTGGGGTAGGCGCCTGGGGCTGGGGATGTGGTCTGGAAGGCACCGGGGTGGCCATCGGCTGGCTCTTTGAGACACGCCGGGAAGGGGCCGGGCTCGCTAAAGGCCGCGTAATCCACCTGGCCGCTGAGGAGGAAGGAGCCGCCGCCCGAGAAGACGGCCGAGGTGGCGTAGTGGACGTGAGCCCCGCCGTCGTCTGCCGCCCGCCCCAGCACGCCCGGGAAGTCGTACGGGGGCCCGGGCCCGAGGAAGCCGTAGTTCGCGCCCCCCGCCGCCGCGGCAGGTGCCGCGCCCGGCTCGTAGGACCCCTCCAGGATGCACGGCGCGTACTGGGGCGCGGCCGGCGGCGGTGCTAGTGGCCGCGCGGGCGTGGCCGGGGGCGAAGGCGCGGGTCGGGCTGCGGCCAGGGGCAGACAGCTGACGAAGGCGCCGTCGCCGCTGCCCAGGGAGAAGGCGGGCTGGAGAGTCACGGGCCCGGCGTCGGAGCGGCAGAACTTGGGTGCCAGGCTGAGCACGTCGCCGCCGACCCCGCTGCCGCCGCTGCACGAGACATACTCCAGGTAGGAGCTCATGGTTCCGGCCCCAATGTCCTGAGGGCGCAGGCCGGGGCCAGAATGCGGAGCCGGGCAGAGGCTGGGCGGGACGGCCGCCGTCTGCGGCGCTCCGCCTACCCTCTCTACCCGAGCTGCCGTCGCCGAGCCATGGCGAGCGAGACTGAGGTAAATAGTGGCCTAATATACCGGCGGGGGCGGCCACGTGGCGCTGGCCGGCCAATGGGCGGCCTCCCCGCACGGCCCAGGTCCCCACGGTCGCTTCGCTCCCCGCTCCTGCCCCGCCGCCAACTTAGCCAAAGCCGCCTAGGGCCGCCGCCCGGCGCCCCCCAGCCCCGGGGAGAGGCGGCGCGGCCGGGGGCTGCTCGAGCAACAGCGGGGCGAGAGCGCAGGACGCCTGCTCCGATACAGGTATTGGGCGAGGTCGGGAGAGAAAGGAAGGACTCGCCGCTTGGGTGAGGGCGAGGGGATGGAGGGGTGCGAGCCGCTTCTGCTCTGGATCGTGGGGGGCTAGTCCCTCTAGGGCGGAGTGTGGGCTCGCGGGGTGGAAAAGGTTAAACGCGCGCATGGTGCGCGGCGGGTGGAGACGGCTCTTCGCCCACCTCCAGGATAGGTAAAGTTATTCCTCTTCCCTTCTCCTGAGTCCTCTGCGCTTTCAGTTTTCTTGGCACTGATGTTATTATCCTTCTCATAAACCTAGAGCAGATGCTTGGTTTTTTTCCCTTTCTTCTTTCTTTCCTATGACTCATGGCACTACATTTTATGCTGTGAGTGCTGTGTGCCTAGGGCAGGACAACATCTTCACTTTTTGACTAGGCTTCCTTTTCACGTGACTTCGCAGCTTTCTATATCCCTCGCAATTTGTGGCGGCGTGATGAGGGCCAGTGTTGTAGTGTCAGGTTTTGATAAAGTTTCTGCCATGTGGGGAAGTTTAGCAGATTTTCCCCTCCGGCTGGGTTGTTGGAATAAAGCATCCAGGATGGTAGTGGAACCTCTCTGGGAGGCTGGCACAGGCAAGGTGCGGCGCTTGCTTTCACCGAGGATCTTGTCTGGAGGGCGCAAAGGCTTCCAGGGGACGGGTGAGATCTCAGAGGTTTGGATGGGCTTGTACCTCTAAGCAATTAGAGATTCTGCTCCATCAGATAAGTGCTGCGTCGTCTCTTGCGAGTGAAATGTGAGGGCTCACGATGTTAATGGGCTCACATCTTTCCCTTGATAATATGGTTTTGTTTACTGAGTGTAGAGAGACGGGAAATAAAAGTGCAATTGGCACAGGAAATGAAGAATAGAAAGGTTACAAAGACAGCCTTACATTGACAAACTTTACAACTTCCTTGAATATTTCTTTTAACGTTTCCCTTTTTGGGGGGGCTGTAGGAAGATAACAAATTAGATAAACAGAGGTTATTTACACACGGTAGTAATGAAAAATGGTGGTTTCCTAAAACCCTATGTGAATAAAGATTCTAAACTAAAGAGTCTACTCAAAGCTTTATCAAGTACCCTTGAAAACTTAATCTATTACAGCCTGAGTTATGGTAACCGAGGTTTTATTATTGTTTTACTAATCCACTTGTCATAAAAGAGTGATTGAGCTGTTGCCTAAAATTCCACTCTGAGGAAGTCTTTAGAATAGGAGCCATCACAGCCCAGGGAGCCAGTTCCTTCCAGGGATGTGGACTTACGAATAAATAAAGCCCTGCCAAAATGTCGACTACTGGCGGACCTGAACTTGCTGCAGGATGGGGAAGGGGTGTCCCCAGGTTGAGGGGAGCCGGCAGAGGGTGGATGCCTAGGAATGAGCACGAATTTAAAGGGATCTGTGGTTCCTGCACTGCTGGCATTCTTGAGTTTGATTGGAAATGGAATCCCTGTGCTGAAAACAGCCCTTCAAACTTGATTTTGCTATTTCAGTTTTGTGCTGTAGCCAGTCAGATGACAAAGGTCCTAAATAATTGTTAAGAAGAGAAAAATAAAAGTTCTTCCCTAGCACCCTAGTTAGGAAATGATAGAGCTCTTCAGAGCTAGGTCAGCCTTAAAATGTAGACATGTTTCTTCACTGCTTTCCCTCTGTGCTGTTTATGCAAAAGTATCAGCAAATAAGATGCTGCTGAGTTCACAATGCCCCCTCCTCCACCTCTGGCTAGATTTTATCTGCAACATGTCCCAGCTTTCACAGCATTTCCCCAAATGATACTTATCCTATCATAACTCCTAAGCCCAGAGGTCCCGTGGGTCAAGAAGGAAGATTGGCTTTGTAAACCTCTTTGGGGAAGACATCAAGCCGACTGCAACCCACGGTTTAGGGCAGAAGAGTCAGCCTGTCTAGAAAGTCTGATGAAAAGCCCTCAAATTAAGGGCCTATTCGCTAAGGTTTCAGAAAAATCAGGCTGCCTGAGTGTCCTGGCAGCTTTCATGGCAACAAAGACTGGGTTTTTCCTGCTGAGCATCTAGGGCTGGGTCCTTCCTGATACAATAAGTTGATTTTGATGCACCCATTAGCTATCCACGCTAGCTCCATCAAGTAAAATTTTGGAGATTTAGCCCTTCTGAGGGAAGAAAATGTCCTAAAAAAGAGTGAAGTTTTTAAAAATACTGTTTTGTTTTGTTTTCACAATTGTGGGTGAGAGTGAGGGGGAGTTGTTCAATATTTGCTTGAACCTAATAGTATTTCTCTGATAATTGCATAAAGAAAGCTACATTCACCCTTCTCTCCACTCCCTTAATCTCTAAATCCTTGGGATATCCCACACCTTGGGGCTCAGAATTGGTATTTCCATTCTTGGGCTGCTTCTTGACTTGCTCTGCTTGGAAGTCAAGACTCTAGTCATCAACATTTGAGCCACACAATATAGGCTCAGCAGATATTTACCAAGGATTTACTATGTAAGACTATTTTGTTAGGAGAAAATTAGGCTAGGGAAAAGACCTTCTCAAACCAAAGGAACTAGAGATTAATTTCTAACACAGGTCTTAGCTATACTATAAATTTACTCTAAAATAATCTTAATTTATAATTATCTAAGGAGAGATTGGAAGATATTATTTGGGGAAATGTAGCATATTTTGAGTAACTTTAAAGTTTGTCTCTTAGATGTTCACAGAGTATGGGAGAAATGTCTCACTAATTTTATTACTTGTCAAGCCATGAATTCCCAAGGGTCACTTGCCCTGCTGGGTCCTGGTGCTGAATTCTCCACGGGAGGTGACAGCAGAGGGGCTCGATTGCCAGGTTGTGTTTGATGTAGGAATGCTTTGAAATCTCTCCCCTCCTGCTCACCACAGCAGTGACTCCCTACCCATTCCCTATCCCTTTCATGACTACCTTTCTCTCCCTTTCTAATAACTAGCCTCTTTTCTGCAGAAGTGATGGAGGGTGGCAGTCTGGTCTTCTGTGTGTCTATTTTATTTTATTTTATTTTGGAGATGGAGTCTTGCTTTGTCGCCCAGGCTGGAGTGCAGCTGTACAATATCGGCTCACTGCAACCTTCTCCTCCCAGGTTCAAGTGATTCTCATGCCTCAGCCTCCCGAGTAGCTGAGACTACAAGCACGTGCTACCATGCCTGGCTAATTTTTATATTCTTAGTAGAGACAGGGTTTTGTCATGTTGGCCAGGCTGGTCTTGAACTTCTGACCTCAGGTGATCTGCCCACTTCAGCCTCCCCAAGTGCAGGGATTACTGCTGTGTTTTTAAAGCGGTTTTCAAGAAGCTCTGGGCAAGCCCCTTAGACAAATCCCACTATGTTACCATTTGGAGACACTTGAGCACATTGAAACTCTTGGCTTCCTAACCCCGAGACACTGAAAATCTTTGTTGGGGTGAAAAAGGTGGGTGTCTTTTTTTCTTAAGCCACATTAAGAGAAAGTGCAGATTAAGATGCAGTTCTCTATAGCATCCTTCAGTCATCCTAGAATGGAGGTAGGGATGCAAAGGAGTCCTAAGGACAAGAACAAGCATTCTAAACCTGTTGGAAATCTGACAATATGACCTTCCCTGAGGAAAGCATTTAAAGTACTGTGCCTTTCCCTGAGAATTTTGTGAATGAAAGTCTCACTGGTCAAGCCAGTGATTTGCACATGGAGGCATTTGACAAATGTTTCTTGGACATAAGCACAGTGAACAGAATGGTGTGTCTTTACCATGACTAATACTGGCTGAAGGATATCTTTAGATTATTGCCCCCGGAAACCACATCATGTGGGTAGAAATCACCACAGAACCTTATTTAAAAGTTGAGGTTTTTTGGGTCACCCCCAGAGACTTTTATCCAATAGGTCTGAGTCAGGAATACTTTTTAAAAAATTATTATTATTATTATTATTATTATTATTATTATTATTATTATTTGTAGAGAAGAGGTCTTACTCTGCTGCCAGGCTGGTCTTGAACTCTTGGGCTCAAATGATTTACACACCTCAACTTCCCAAAGTGCTGGGATTGTAGGTTCGAGCCACTGTGCCTGGCTTAGGAGTCCTTTTTTTTTTTTTTAACAACGTCTTTGGGGTGATCCTCAAGCTAGATTCTTTGGAACTACACTTTGGAAAGTTCTGCTGTAGGAGTTGGGGTGGGAAGGGGTGGTATGGGAAGAAAGGAGATGTTCCTATGGGAGGAATCATGAATGATGCGAGGTCATGGCTAGCTGGTTCATGAGTATACCTAAAAAGTGTCCAGAGGTCTCTTGGGTTGCAGATAGGTCAATGTCAAGGTCAAACTTAAGTCTACTTGGGCTGAAGTTTTAGAACATATCCTTAAGAAGTGGTCAGTTGGAAGTTTCCCAAGTTTTGCTGGCCATTGGTGATTTGCAGAGACCGAGCTCACTTCTGCTTCTTGCCACTTCCCTACCTTGGCTCTGATGATGCCAGTGGGGTGGGAAGAGGAAGAGATTTGTCTCTTCCAGTCTCTTCAGAGATAATTTAGAGTGGTTCTGAGGCAATGGGAAGAAGAAAGAAGTGAGAATGGGCATCTCAAGAGAGAGGACTCCACCCTTTTTCTTTTCTGTTTCTCAAATTGTCTGGAATATGCCTTTGAGCCCCAGGGCTCCAGAGGGGGCCAAATGTCCCTTAGCCTAAGCTATAACTGTTCCTCTGGATAAAGGCTGACTTTTCACAGCCTAAGATGTCAAAGCTAGAAACACCTTCCAGGTAAGCTACATCAAACCCCTAATTTTAGAGAGGAAGTCACTTTACTCAGAGGTTAAAAGGCAAAGCCATCCTGCAAAAAAACGAAACCACCTTTGGTCTCCTGACTTTCCACAGTCGATTCCCTTTTCACAGTCTTCAAAGAGAAAGCAGCACAGTAGCCACCGCTTGGCACAGTGGCAGGTCTCGATCCCAAGCAAGCAGAGCAGCGCTCAAGAAGGTGTACTCATTTTCTGGAGGCCACACAGTCAGCGGTTCTGACTGAGGGGCCTGCTGCTCTGCCCCAGACTTCTGTAGCCTCACCTTGAGTACTCCTACAAGAGAGGGCAGAGACAGACCTAGGTCCCCACCACCAAGCAAGAGTAAAGGGTCCCCTCATTATCCTTGAGGTTGATCAGCATCAGAGCCCTGGGGGAACAAAACAAGAGGCATCCCAAGATTAATTTTGCTGGCTAGAGCAAGTATGAATAAGAACACATGTGAATACACACAGGCACATCCAGGTCACTTGTACTAACAATTTGTTGTTGTTGCTGTTCCTTTATTTACTTATTTTACTCAAGGCGAGTTCCATTTCTTTTTAATGGTATTATTTTGTTTTGTAATTTTTAAGTTCAGGGGTACATGTGCAAATTTGTTACACAGATAAACATGTATCATGAAGGGTTTGTTATACAGATTATTTCATCACCTCGGTATTAAGCCTAGTACCCATTTGTTATTTTTCCTGATATTCTCCCTCCCACTGCCCTCTACTCTGTTCTTTTATTTTTATGAGACAGTCTTGCTCTAATTGCCCAGGCTGAAGGGCAGTGGCTTGATCTTGGCTTACTGCAACCTCCACCTCCTGGGTTCAAGTGATTCTTCTGCCTCAGCCTCTGTGTAGCCGGGACTACAGACACATGCTACCACCCCATCTAATGTTTGTATTTTTAGTAGACATGGGATTTTACCATGTTGGCCAGGCTGGTCTCAAACTCCTAATCTCAAGTGATCAGCCTGCCTTAGCCTCCCAAAAGTGCTGGAATTACAAGTGAAAGTCACCATGCCTGGCTTCTTTTACCTTTTCAAATGGGTAATAAATTTAAATGTGCCTGGTTCAAGATTCAAAGGGTACAAAGGGATATACAGTGAAAAGTCTTCCTCCCACTCTTTTTCCCAGCTACCTGATTCTCCTTCACATAAGCAACCAATTTGGGTATCTTTTCAGAGGCAATTTTTACTAGCACAATTTATATACATGTGGGTGTGTACTCCACAGGTATTTACACAAATGGTAGCATGTTAGGAAGACTTTTTTGCACCATGATTTTTCCCCTATTGTATCTCCAAGATCATTCCATATAAATGATCTTCATATAAATACACACATAACTTCCTGGATTGTTGTTGTGGTGGTAGTTTGAGACAGGGTCTGACTTCGTTGCTGAAACTGGAGTGCAGTGGTCCAATCATGACTCCCTGCAGCCTCGGGCTCAGGTGATCCTTCTACCTCACTCTTCTGAGTAGTTGAGATTGCAGGCATGCACAAACATGTCCAGCTAATTTTTGTATTTTTTTGTAGGGACAAGGTTTCATCTCTACAAAAATCAGGCTGGTCTCGAACTCCTGGGCTTGAGTGATCTGCCAGCTTTAGCTTCCTGAAGTGTTGGGATTACAGATGTGAGCCACAGCATCTGGCCCTGGTTTACTTTTATAACTTCATACTGTTCTACTGTATACACCTGCCACAATTCATTTAGCCATTCCCTACTGATGGGCATTTAGCTTGTTTTCAACCTTTTGCTATTACAAACACATGGTCAAGCTTTTGCCTATTAGAAAAATTTGTAGAAGTGAAATGATTTAGTTAAAAGGTATGTGTACTGACAATTTTAATACATTTCTCTACAGACATGAATCAATTTCGACCTCTATCAGCAATATATGAGCACTCCTGTCTTCTCACACCTTTGCCAAGTTAATGGGAAGTTTTTATGTTTGCCAGTCTGATAAGTGAAAAATAATACCTTTTACTTACCCTTATAACATCTCCCAAAATCTCTTCCTTATCTTGAGCCTTTCATAATTCTGTATTACAAATGGTAATACTAACACAGAAAAGATAAACAACTTGCTGTAATCACACCCAGTGTAAATGGCCAGAGTCAGATGTTCAGCACTATTCCCTGCGCTACACCATTCCACACAGGGCTTAAGGAGGTTCAAAAGAGAGTAGGTGCCTTTAAGCATTCTCTGAAAGACAGGTGATATTAAAACAAAACAAAACATAGAAGCTGTCTGACATTAGCTAAAAGACCTCTTCTTTAGTGGTCTGATACCAAGACCACATTTCTGCATGACTCCTCCAGCGAGCACTGCTCTTGAAGGAGAGGTCTCTGATTAGCAATTTGATTTAACCTAGTCCCAAACATTAGCTTGGATTCAATATCTACAAAGCATTGTTTTTAATTTCTCTAAGATATTTCTCACTGGTCACCCAGGATCTAAGTATTAATCAGCATGGTGTGAGTGGGGGTGTGTTTTCTTTAGGTTTTAGCTTTCTATAGAATACTCACTTGGACCTGGTGAAGATACTAATACCTAACACACATACCCATATTACTCTAATGATAAACCTGTGAGGTAGATATCTTTATTGACTCTTTCACTGCTGAAACAGAAAAGCAGAAAGATTAAGTAAATTGCATAGGGCCACACAGTATGTCAGTAGCAAAGCAGAAAAGACAATGTAGACTGCAATCAAACTCATTAGCTTCCCTGCAAAGCCTTCTCTTCTCCCTCCTCTATTTATTTTTGTGACTAGTATGACTCAGCTCCTCAAATCTAGAGATTAATATCCACAACTGCTCTTTTACTCATCCAGTTGATCACTGAGTCCTGTGAATTCTACCTCCTAAATGTGTTTTCTCTTCATTCTTGTTAATTAGCTTTCTCTCTGATTGGAACTAGTTCCTGTCTAACTGCTATATTGTTGCAGTCACCTCCTTTTTTGTTCTTCTTGCCATATCTCTCTTTTATCCAATCAGATGCAGCATCCCTAAGAGTTAGCTCCAAAATACATAACCTCACATCCCAGCTTAAAACCTGCTGTGGTTCCCTGTTCTCGACAGAGTAGGTCCAGACTCCTTCACATAAACCCTGTGCAACTTCCCTTTTTAGCCAGGATGCCCGCACTCCAAAGTATGCTCCTTGTTCCAAGTGCAGACTTTGCTTTTTCCTCCCTCTTTGCTTTTGCATGAGTTGTGCTCTCTACCTAGTATGGCCTTCACTTCTCGGCCTGAAAAACTCTTATAGTTCAGGAACCCGAATTTACCTCCTCTGATTTTTTTTTTTTTTTTGACATTTTAGTAGTATTAGTGGCTCCTTTTTTATTATAGAAACATTCTAACCACACCTCTGTTACGGCATCTATCATTATTGTTTCAGGATTATTTCTCTTCCCCACTAGATTGAAGGGCACACACCATCAGTGACTCATCTTTGTATCCCAGAGCCCAGAACAGTGTGTATAGGAGCTGTTCACTAGGAATTGGTGAAAGGCAAGGAGGAGGGACAGACTGAACCAAGGACAGCAGGACCAGTAGTTTCATTGCTCAGTGAGCTCAGGACACTGTGTGAGGCCTAATGCTTCAGCTTATATCTATCTGAAGCAAGATGGTAGAACATTTTTCCAAAGCAAGTTCAATTTCCACCCAAGAGGATGAAGGGATAGAAGGCTGAAGGAAGAGAGGGCAAAAGCTGAGGCTTTCTGTCCTTAAGGGACACTTTGCTGTGGGCTAAGGCAACACATTTACTAACTTCAGAAACATCTCAGCTGATGTCCCGCAGCAAAAAAGGGGGAAAGGGAAACTAGGCCGGAATTTGGTTAGGATTTATAAGGACAACAGCATGACCACTCCAGAGGGATTATAAAAATGCTTCACCACTAACTTCACCAAATCCTCCTGCTGTAAACAGCTCTAATGCTAATGACTACCCTCAGAAACTTGCTGTCTATCCCTTTAGGGTGTTCTTAAAATAAGCTGGAAAGAACAGAGGTAAAAATACTGGAGCGTTTCCTCCACACTGGAAAGGAGAGTGTTTCCTCCACAATCATATCATTGTGATTGGTGTTTTAAGTATATTTTTATTGTTATTTTAAATGGCATTCAAGTTTAGCTTCAAGTTCAACAGCAGTCTTAACCTACTTCCTCCCACACAAATACTCCTGCCAGTAAATAGACACTCTTAAATAAAACAGTGCCTTCAAGAACCTGCTGACCCATTGAAATTAGTCCTGCCCTGCCTTCAAAGGTGGATTCGTCCCTCTCTGGGTGTAGAGCAGCGTTTAAGGGCGACATTCCGGCACGCAGGAGGTGTGGCGGGGGGCGGGGAATGCAGGGTCACTGTGGGTCAGGGGCGGGTGTGGGTGCAGGCGCGTTGGGAGGGCCCTGGGCGCCCCGGGAAGTCCGAAGGCGGGCGGCGGGGCTGGCGGGCAGCCTTGCTAGCCTCGGACGTGACGGGGCGACGGCCGGCCCTGCGCCGCCGACTGCTGTCCTGGCTGCGCAGCTCCCCAGCAGGCGCGGGGCTCAGGTCGCGCCTTCCGTTAGCGCTCAGCTTGTGTGCCTGCGTCTCCTCTGCTTGCGGTTTCTGGTCGGATCCCAGCTGGCCCAGACTTGCTCAGAAGTAGGAGGAACCGCTGTCGAGCGAAAAGTGCACGCCGGGTGATTGATGAACTCTTAATAGGACTAACCTCTCCTGCCCCCCACCCTAGACACACACAGAGAAATCGTTCACCCCAGCCCCCCTCCAGTCCTCCTCGCGGGCAAGAGGGGACCCGGTCGCCAGCCGGTAGGGTGATTAACTCACCGTTTGTCTTTGCGAAAGTGCTCCAGGTGGATCAGGAGCATCGGCCCACCCTGCCTGCAGCCTGGCGGCTCGCGGGGGCGCGGAGAACGCGCGCGGAGCGAGCCTGCGCATCACAGGGCAGCGCGGACCTTTGTGCCTTGCGCTCGCCAGACCGCCCAGGAGGCAGCAGCTATTGTTCCCCGCGGGGGCTAGGGGCGCCCTGAAACGGATCCACACCAGCCCCCTCCCCAGCGTGTCTTCAGGTCCAAGGACGGTGGGGCTTTCTTTGTGTGTTCTCTACCAGGAGCAGGGATGCTGCCCTAAGGGGTAGCCGAGGGTGGGTGAGGGACGCTGGTACCAGCTCCCTAGAGCTCAGTTTACCCGACCTACTCTTCCCCTCGGCCCTGACAGAGGAGGTGGGGAGGAGTATGGTATATGTAGGGCAGCGCTGTGAACAATGGGGCTATCAAAGGGCCTTCCCCGAGCTTCCTCACCAACCACGGACACTCCTGGCCCAGCAAGCCCTCCTGACCTGGTTTTGAGCCCTGCTTCCCAGATAAAAACATTATCTGTACCAGAACTCTTCATGAATTCTGGCTTAAATTAGGATTTAAATCCTTTTGGCCCTTACTAATATTAAAACCCAGCTTTTAGGATTCTCCAGATATTATTCTTTCTTTGAAATAATCCAGACTAGCTACAGGAACCAATCAAGACATTTTGCCCAAGATCTAGGACAGGAAGACTCATGCAATAGCTCCTGCCTTACAGATGTGGGGACCCTTCACCCACCTCTGCTATTGCAAATGATTGGACATTCATCTCCCTTGGCTCTTCCCTCATGTGTGAAAATATTTTGTTCACTCTGTTTCATGGTGGACCTGACCTGAAGATGGGCCCTTATATTGTCTTTGTACTTTCTAACTTGCCAAGGTGGGTGTGAAACCTGGGAAAAGTTTTTAGGACTAGGCTTTAGGCTAGATACCTAAATCCATTTGTTTTCAACCTTGGACTCCAAAGATAAGGGTTTTTGTAGCTGGAATAGAAAACAGGGAACAGGGCCAGGCTCGGTGGCTCATGCCTGTAATCCCAGCACTTTGGGAGGCTGAGGTGGCTGAATCGCAAGGTCAAGAGATCGAGACTACCCTGGCCAACAAGGTGAAACCCCATCTCTACTAAAAAATACAACAATTAGCTTGGTGTGGTGGCGCACGTCTGTAGTCGCAGCTACTCGGGAGGCTGAGGCAGGAGAATCGCTTGAACCTGGGAGGAGGAAGTTGCGGAGAGCTGAGATTGTACCACTGCACTCCAGCCTGGTGACAGAGCAAGACTCCATCTCAAAACAAAACAAAACAAAACAGGGAACAGTGAGAACTGAGAACTAACATTTCATCCTCTGTGATAATCTTCATCATTCACCATCCTTCCTCTTCAGCATCACCAGTGCAGGAAATGTGGAGGACTTACATATCCAGGCTTTCTTCTTTCTATCTAGGCCTTCTGCAAGAGATATCTAAGAACTAGCTCTCCAAGATGGTAAGGGCTTGGCTAGTGACAACCCAGTCTCAGCTCTCCATACCCAAGTGTCTAGAAATAGGCCCACTCACCCAGGCTCTACATATATACTCTCTCTGGGAAGTTGCAGTGCCTTGAAGTGATCAGGCCATAGGCCTGTGAAGACTGGGGTCTTCCATCTCTCTTCCTGCCTACTCACAAACTTCTGTTCTTTCTATTCTTTTCTTTCAGTTTCTAAAAGAAGGACCAAAGTAATGTCAAGAACTCCCAGATGAAGAGGACCTTCCTTAGACCTGTAACAGATTCACTACTGACTTCAGAAGGAAGTTTCAGCTAATTCTCAGGAAAAGGTCAAAACAGGCCTGTGACTGTCCCTGGAATACTGAAAGTATAAACAAGCTTCTGGCTCCCCCAGGTCAAGCAGCGGAACACTTTTTATTAGAATGAAAGGTTACTTCTTTGTTATTCAAACACACACCCACACACATCCTCTTTAGTCTCCCTAATAAAAACCTCAACAGATGGAGAGCCTGAGCTCCTAAGCCCGCAGGCTGAGAAGATGCTCTTCACTCAAGGGTCAGTGGGCTGGTACAGACTGGGGAAGGGAGAAGGGACACAGCCAGCTAGTATAGGTAATCACTATCTTTTAATACTCCTAACACATAGAAATTCGAAAAAATCTTGTTCAGCAAGGTTAGCAGCCTCTGGAGCCTCAGAAACTAATTTGGCTGATGTGTCTCTGATAGGGAGCTTGGGGGCTGCACCAAGGGAAACGTACTCCTTCTATATTCTCTCCTCTCTCTCATTTGAAAGCTTATACAAAGAAATGGTACAAATGGATGGTTAACTTAATGATTCCATCAGAGGCAGATTTTTCTCTGTCAGGTCCGTAGATAAGGCGGAGGTCTGAAAGCCAGGAGGCAGAATATGTCCTTAATCGCCCTTTCCGACTTGCTTACCAGTGGCCAAGGCTACTCTTCAGGCCTTTCTTCTGCCACTTCCCTGTCCCTCCTGACTAGCCTAGTTGGGTCTCAGCACTTCACTCCTGGCTGGATCTTGAGTTTTTCGTAGGGAAAGCTCTCAGCTGCATCTCCTTCCCCACCCCCACCTCCCATTTTGCAGCTGGCCATTATGGCTGCCTCACAGCTATCCTGCCTTAATTCCCATTTGATTGCCTGGACAAAACCACCAAGAATGTCCAGACGACTACCACCCCTCATCCATGGGCCTGAGCTCCTGCCTTGACCCCTTTCTTCAGACCTCAGAAGGCCTCACACACTCTCCCTGATTCCCACCTTCCCCAAAGCTGTCTCTATAGGAAAAGAGCAGAACTGGCTGAGGCCTGAGACAGCCATTTCTTCCCCTTGGGCAAATAAGGTGGACCCTCCCAGAGACCAGTGCTGGAGAGGCCCGGCCCGAGCTCCCTTTACAGGGCCTCCCCCATCACGGAACCCATGGGAAAACCTGGCACACAATGGCGCGGCTGCTCCTGGCACCCTCAACCCAGCACCTGGAGGCAAGGCCTGAAGCAGTCTCGTGGTCTTGGTGTGCTCCCTTTGCCCTCTCCGCCAACCCTTCACGAGCACCCGTCCCAGGAAAGAGACCCTGGCAAGGGTAGACGTTGCCTCCCCCAAAGGGCGCTGTTGCTGAGGCCTCCCCTCCCCCATCCTCTTGTTTCTCTGCTTCTGAGACCCCGGAGGGAGGCAGCAGACGCCTCCGCCGCCGCTAGAGCAGCTATTGTGACCTTCCCTTGCAGAGCGGGAACCCAGCAGAGTGCGCGCCCGGCGGTGGCGGGGGAGGAGGCGGCTGTGTGTGCAAACCTCGGGCGCAGAGGGGGACACTGGGAAATAAACGTTTGCAACCTCGGGCAGTTGGGCCCTTCAGAGGGCGTTTGGTTGTGTTTAGACTCGGGTGCTTTCTAACACTAATTGCAGGCTCAAGAGGAGCGGAATTTACTGAGAAGGCTAAGGCGGCATGTTTATAATTTATGAAGTTTTAAATGGCTGTGCCGCGGGCCCCAGCTCTCTCTTGGGCTGGCAGCCGCGCGAAACGCGCCCTCCCATGGCTCGCCGCCACCCCCACCAATGCCGGTCACATGAGTCTCACGCCAAAGGCAGGAACAGATTCGAGCCATTCTTAGAAGTCTCGGGAACCTCCAAAGGTGGGAGAAGGCAGCGGATTTGGTCCAAGCCCTCAGCCCACTCGAGTGGAGGGCCACGGGGAAGGCTGCGGCTGTCTGGAGAGGGAGCCCCAGATCCCGCACTTCCTTGGAGCCTGAGTGTGAGAGGAAGCTGATGTCAGCCGGGCTAGACACAGTTTAAAGTCTAATCCATGAAACCCTAAGCCGCAAATGACACTTGGGGCTTTGCAGACACCCGCAGACTCAGCAGATACTTCTGCGGTAACACACTGTGCTGGAAAACGCCTGGAGCCATGATACATTATGTATTTTTATTATTATTTATGGTAGGAAGAGGAGATGAGGGAAAACGGGACTGAATCTAAGCAGCCTGACAATTCAGCTATTTAATATTTAGCCAGTTAAGAAAGGTGGTTGTAATCCCTGAAAGGCAGTGAGCTCTTCTTTGATTTCTCTAATAGCTTAAAAAATAATTTCTTACAAGACAATTAGAAATTCTGCCTGTGGATGCAAATTTCATAGAAAACAATGTTAAGCCTTGAAAGTGGGTAAAATATGCCTTCGGTTGAAGTTATTTATTCTGTTGATACACTTCTACAACATATATATTTTAAACCTGCTCAGATAAAGTGAAATTTAGCAAAAGGATATCCTCTCCCACCCCAAATCTAACATGCCATTTTAAAAACAGCACAAAGGAACAAGGAAACTAAATATTATTTTGAGCCATCATTACTTAGCGAAATACAAACATCCAAATAGAAATGATTGTTGTTCCACCAGAAGATGAGAAGTTAAATTATTTCCACACAATAGGAATTTCACCTCATGTCATCAGGGATGTAGTGGGAGTTGCATTATTTGTCAAACCAAATAGAGATGCGTGGGCTGACTTTGCTGAAATACAAAAGAATTGAACCTTATCTGAAGGCGTTTTCTAAGTGGCCCCTCTCATAGAAGCAGGGAAGTTGTCCACCCCTCGCAGAAGCCACATTAATATTTACAAAATGGTTATAAATCCTTGAAGACATTTTTGCCCATTTTGTACAAAGAAACAGGAGTAAACAAGGTGTTTATATTTGTTATGTTTCATTTATGAAACTGTTATTTCTTTACATCATGGGGAATGTTTGTTTTCTTTAGAAATGAACTAATGATCACTACAAAGGAAGAATTCATAACAGCATTTCCTAGAGAAAAGGCTTAGGTGTGCATGGTTTCTTTTTCTACACCTTAGCTTTTTCATAGCTCAATTCTTTTTACAAATTCTCTTGTGTTTTTTCTTTGATTGTCAGTTTTCTTTCAAAGTTTATTTTTTGTTACTTAATGCAGAAAAGTGAGCTGTGGCCTCCCCAATGTAAAAGTCGATTGTGTCTAGAAAGAGGGCAGTAAAAAGAGCAAAGCAGGCGCTACTTTCAAAAAGCCCTATCCAAATCATCCTGCCTAGAACCTTTCTAGGTTTGCATCTTCATTTCCCCCTCCCCTAATTTCAATAGCTGAAAAGTAATCAAGTATCCCCAGAACCAATTTTTGCACTAGACTCCAAATAAATAAAATAATGTTTTCAAGTGTCAGTCTATTTCAGGGCCTTCCATGGGGATTGTGCGAGATGAAGGCATAGTGATCTGCTTGCAAGTGTGCATGATTAACACAGATACACTTCCAACTGAGAAATTTTTTTATTCTAAGTATTTGTTCCAATAGTACCAGACAATTTGAAATCAATAAACTGTGGTGAGGGCTGTGGCTTTTGAGAAATGACTAACGTGTGTTGTGCCACACCACCGGGCTTTCTGACTCTACCCATGAAGGACAAGTTGCGGTCTTAAATCCTTTACATCAACTACAAACACCAGCCACCGTTACGACTGTTCAAAACTACTCTTTCAACTAGTTCAAACCAAGGGGACTAAGGAGGTGAAATGTGGCCCCCACGGCCTGGAAGCGAATTCCTAAGCTCGGCCGGAGAAATCTACAAATATACACACAAATACATTCAGGACAAGGATAAATAATCAGGGAAACGAAATGACTCGCTTCAAATAATAAATACAGATAGTTTAGTCCGATGCAATCCTTATGGGACAGGAAGGAGAATATAAATTAAGGTCTCCGAAACTAAGCTAGACGCGGGCCAGGCCCAAGACTCTCCGGGCCCTGGTCCCTCTGCAGGGCGCGCCGCCGATGGGTCTCAGACTTACCTTTGGGACACCATTACCAGATTAGAGTCCCTCGGTCCGCAGTATGTGGCACTGTCAGGTTTACAGGGAAGGATCCTTGCGGCTGATTTATGGCGAGTCACCCAAAGGAGGACACCCATGGAGGGGGAGGCCCGGTCGCCTGCGCCTCCACTGCTGGAGGCCTGAGACCCGGGAGGCAGCGGCGGGGCAAAAGCGGGGGAGGGGGTTCCCGAACTGCCCCGCGGGCCCCGCCCGCCACCCCACCACTACAGCAAGAGAGGTAATTGCGCCGCGAGTTCGGGCCGGCGGCAGCCGCTACAGATGCGTCAGTTTGGGAGCCTCCGGCAGTCGTCCCTGAGACGAGTGGTGGGCCGAGAGATCTGTGTAGGTGGGATGAGGGTCGCACGGTCCATGGTGGTGGTTGCCTGGAATCTGCGCGGCGCAACTATAGTCCACGCTGGCCGACGACGGGTGCGAGAGGTGGCCCAGGTTGAAGACAGGCCCGGACGCGGGAGCCATGGACTCGACGAAGTTGCCGCCCACGTACAGCCGGGCTGCCCTGCAGGTTGGCGCTGGCGAAGCCGCCGCCGTTACTCGCCATGGGGTGGGGCTCGAACTCGGGCGCCGCGTAGCGCTTCTGTTGTGGCAGGCAGCTGCTGAGCGGCGCCGTGTAGGCGGCCAGGCCGTACATATTGGGCTGTGATTTGGCGAATGCCGGCGGCGAGGGCGCGTCGTAGGCCAGGCCGGGCACTGGGGGCAGCTGGCCAGAGTAGGCCACGTGGCCAGCGGCGCCGCCGAGCGGTGGGCTGCGCTCAGGGGACTGGCCCGCCGGCGAGTGAAGGATGCCCTTGGCCTTCTGGTCCTTCTTGTACTTCATACGCCGGTTCTGGAACCAGATCTTGATCTGGCGTTCCGTGAGATTCAGCAGGTTGGCCATCTCCACGCGGCGCGGCCGGCACAAGTAGCGGTTGAAGTGGAATTCCTTTTCCAACTCCACCAGCTGCGCACTCGTGTACGCCGTGCGTACCCGCTTGGATGCTGGGCCTGGCGGGCTCTTGTCCTCGCAGCTCTCTCCTGGGCAGGGAGGGAAAAAGGGAGGGCGCTGAGGGAGGGGATGGGTACCCTCAGGACTGAAGAGGGGTGCTTCCCTGGTTCTCTTTTCTTCCCCTCTCCCCTCACCTTCAATCCAGGCTGGGGTGGGGAAGGGCCTTTTGAGAGGTATGATTCCGAGGGAGAATTCACCTACCTACCAATCCCCTACCAGGCCTACCTATCAGTCGCACCTGAAACCTCCATCAGCCCTGAGATCCAGTTCACTCTGCCCACCCTCTCCCCTGCAGCCTAGTCCCTCATCCCAGGCCCACCCAAAGGCCATGAAAGAGTTTAATGAGAGACTAGGAACAGCTGGTAAGGCCTCCGCCTGTCAAAGAAGGGCCAGACTCCTTTAAACACTCCTCCCAGCCTCTGCTGCCAGGGATGGGGTTTGGAGAAGGAAAGGAGGAGGAACTAGCTCCAGCCTGCCTTGCTAGCTCCTGGGCAAAGCCCCCACCAACCCCTAGCAAAGTGTGGGGTTGGAGATCTTGGCACCTCACTGCAGTCCAACTGCACCCAAAGCCAGGGAGGTGATACACCAAAAAATAAAAAAATAAAAACCAAACAAAACACTGCCTGGGTGTTTCAGGGAGTCCAAGGCCAGGCTAGAAGCATTTTGAGTATTCACAGTGCTGGGACCCGCAGCCTCAACACTCGCTTTTACTACCCTGCCACCTCTCAGCTGCTTGTCCACTCCCTCCCGGGAAAGACAAATGGATTTCTCCTGGGAGGGAGGGCCTGAGCCTGCAGCTGAGGAGGGAGGGAAAAGGAGCTTGCAGGCAGGATAATACCTTCCACCTAGGAGCAACCCCAGAAAGCCTCAGGCAAACCAGAGCCCTGATAACAAGCACACCCCAGGCCCCAAACTTGCCCTGGACCTGGAAGCAAGTTCATCTTGAAGATAAATCACATCAGATAACACAAGGTCAGAAAATATCAGGAACCAACCAGTCTAAGCAGAGAGAGGGGCAGGCCTCAGAGCTCCTGGCCAGGCCTATCTTCTACATGCCCTGGGTGGACCTAGAGAAGGCCCCAACTTGAGGGTCTCCCCTTCCAGTCAGAGAAATCCAAGGCTGGTTTTGTCTCCCAGAACATCCTCTCCTAATAGGACAGGCACCTCCCCATTAGGGATTTGCTGGAGCAGGAGAATGGGCTGAGGTGGGCCAAATAGATACTCATGGTTATGCCTAGCAGTCCCTAACGCAAGTGGTTGTACCACTTTACAGTTTTGTGATCTTGGGCAAGTTGCCTATCATCTCTAACAGTTTTCTTATCTGTAAAATGGGGATGTTATCATATACCTACCTCAGAAGATTCTTTGAACAATTAAATTAGATAATGCTTAGAAAGTACTTAGTATGTATGGTACTTTCTAAGACTTTAGGGTTTTTTGTTTTGTTTTGTTTTTTGTTTTCTTGAGACAGAGTTTTGCTCTTGTTGCCCACCCTGGAATGCAATGGCATGATCTTGGCTCACAGCAACCTCTGCCTCCTGGGTTCAAGCGATTCTCCTGCCTCAGCCTCCCAAGAAGCTGGGATTACAGGCATGTGCCACCATGCCCAGCTAATTTTGTATTTTTAATAGAGACAGGGTTTCTCCATGTTGGTCAGGCTGGTCTTGAACTCCTGACCTCAGGTGGTCTGCCCACCTAGGCCTCCCAAAGTGCTGAGATTACAGGTGTGAGCCATCATGCTTGGCCAAAACTTTAGTTTTTATGAGTTTAAGGGAATGAGATTCATGTGATATGGGCTATATAACCACCTAGGCTTGGGGATTATACCTGTCTTCAAATCTTGAAGACCTGTTGGGTGGAAGAGGGACCAGAGTTATGATTAGCAGCCCAGGAAAACAGATATGCCCATATAAGGAAGCACTCTCTATTAATAGCTGTAAGACCTGTCCAGCAATAGCACCAGCAGCCTGGAATGGAAGTGAGCACCCTGTCACTGCAAGGGCATAACACCAATCAGGAATGCTAAAAGGGAAAAACATTTTGATATGAGTAGGAGTTTAGACATATGACCCCCAAGGTTGCATTTCCAGCCCTTACTGGGGCTTCCTTGGGTCAGTCTGGAGGGGGCTTGGTCTGGGGGCGAGCCACCTCAGAGAGCTACCTGCAGTGGCACAGCTGTTCTTCTGCTTGGAGTTCTGTCGAGACTCTTTCATCCAGGGGAAGATCTGCTTGCTGATGGTGGCTGAGGAGCTAGAAGCATTGGGCCCACCTTTGGGCTTCTTGGCAGGCACTCCACCTCCAGGATTGGTGGGTGAAGATGGGGGCAGGGTTGGTGGTGGAGGAGGGGGTTGTGGTGGCTGCTGCTCTGAGTTCAGACCAGGAGGCTGGCTGCCACCACCCGCACCCTGGCTGTTACCAGTGCCAGGCCGCATGCAGCTGCCATTAAGTTCAGCTCCTTTGTGGGCTGGGGCTCTCAGAGGGGCAGAGCTCTGGATGGAGCAGGCAGAACCTGGATAGTCAGTGTCCAGGGAGTTGGCAGCAGCAGGGGGTGGGTAGGGCTGGTGGGGGGTGGTGTAACCGTAAGTTTCAGTGGTTTTGCTGTAGCCGTAGCCTCCGAACAGTCCTGGGTTTTCATAGTAAGCAGCCTTCTGCATTGTGCACTCAGGTAGCTCCAGGGCCTGCTGACCCTGCTCAAATAACATTGACTACCACTGTAACCTTCAATGTCACTTGCAATGTCTGCTGAATCCTGAGAAAGCTGGACAAGCCCCCAGACTCCAGGTTACCTGTCAGAAGAAAAGCAAGAGGCCCCAGAGGGAGTGTCATTGGCAAGACCAGTCAATATAGAAGGACTAGCCCATGCTCTCTGCTTCTCGCCCACTTCATGGTGGGGAGATTGGCAAGGTGCTAGATCTGAGTTTATTTACTTATCTGTTTATTTACTGATACAGTGTCTTGCTCTGTTGCCCAGGCTGGAGTGCAGTGGCATGAACACGGCTCACTGCAGCCTCAATCTACTGGGCTCAAGCGATCCTCCCACTTCAGCCTAGTATTAATAGCTATTTCAGAGTATTTTAGAGTCCCAGCTACTGCAGAGTAGCTAGGACTACAGGCTCACACCATGCCTGGCTAATTTCTTATGTTTTATTTTGTTCTGATGGAGTTTCGCTCTTGTTGACAAGGCTGGAGTGCAGTGCCATGATCTCAGCTCACTGCAACCTCCACCTCCTGGGTTCAAGCAATTCTCCTGCCTCAGCATCCTGAACAGCTGAGATTACAGGTGCCCACTACCAAGCTTGGCTATTTTTTTTGTATTTTTAATAGAGGCAGGGCTTTGCCATGTTGATCTGGTTGTTCTCAAACTTCTGATCTCAGGTGATCCACCTGCCTAGGCCTCCCTAAGTGCTGGAATTACAGGAGTGAGCCACCACGCCTGGATCTTAGTTTTTTTGTAGAGAAAGGGTCTCACTATGTTTATTCAGGCTGGTTTTGAGTTACTGGGTTCATGTGATTCTCCCATCTTAGTCCCCCAAAGTGTTGGAATTGCAGGCATGAGCCACTGTGCCTGGCAGATTTTATGAAGTCCAACTTACTTGAACCTCTGAAAAAGTCAGAAGGAATTTTTCCTAAATGTAAGAAAAGGTGTTTCTTTCTTTTTTGCTAAACTCTAGCTGAGGAAAGGGGCTTCCCCTACCTACAGATACAGTTTACTTTCTTCAAGATTGTCCATTTAGCCTTTATTCTGTGTGGAAAAGCACTTATAGCCTCAGACATTTTATTGGCTGATTCTCCCACTAGACTGTAAGCTCCTTGAAGGCAAGGGCTGTGTCATTTGTCTGTATATTCCTGCATGTAGTTAGTGCAATAAATGTTTGTTGAATATGTGAATTAATAAGTGAATCAATCAGTCAATCATTGGGTCAGCACAAAATTTTGATGGGAAATGAAATTCCTATAACACACTCAGAAGAGCCAGAACATTAAAAAAAAAAAAAAAAAAAAAAGTGTCTCTCCCACCTGGTTTCAAAATCACAGCATCTTTCATGAAAGTTCACATAGTCCACTTAGCGATGACAGGGTGAAAGTCAGCTGAGTTAGCTCTATGGATCAGCAGTGTGAAATCAACAATGTAGAAAACTAGGAGATAAAAACCAAGAAGAGGACTTGCAGACTTCCAGATTCATTTTGAGGCTAGAAAATGTTTCTTCTCTTTCATCTATGTTTTTCTAGACCTTTTACTTTTGACCTTCTACTACTTTTAAATGGATACTACTGGAAATGGGCAAAGACATCTAGAATTGGAAATGCATGGAAATGCATGGGTGAATAGAGAATGCTTTATAAATTTATCATTTTTGCCTTGAATCTATTGTATAATAGATATTATTATTGACCTCTGCTCTGGATAATCTATTCTACCCCACCTCCCACCCAAACCACAACCAATGAGAGAACCTTTCATGACATGATGAATGGACCCAGAATTCGAAGAAGAAAAAAAGCTAAGAAAAATTCTACCCCTTTTGTATTCCCTTCTTGATGGGGGTTTCCTTTCGCACCCTCCCTCCCTACTTCTTCTGAAAGTCTCCTAAAGAGTTAAAGTATAACTAATACCATTGAATCACTTTTGTCTGTTTGATAAAGAAAACTCATAGGTCAGCTCCCGGGTCTCAATTCTTGATCTGTCTTTCAGGCAACTTTCCTTCCTAGAAACTCTCCCTGGCTTCCATCCTGGTCATCATGATGGACCACATCATCTAGACAGCTTATGTAGCCTAATGAATTTGACTACCGATACCAAAATCATTCACTCATTTTTCCCTCCACCTTCACCAAAAGCCTAATCTAATTTTAAAAATTCTCCTAATTAGCCTTTGTTTGGTAAGTAGTTTTGTTTCCCATTTTTTTTTGTTTGTTTGTTTTAGAATATAAGTGAGCATGCCATTTGTCTTGATGAGGACAGGCCCTTAATACCAAGATATTATGTTGTAGGAATTGTTTCCATTAGTGTTCCTAAATGTAGGTAGTTAGGATATCTACTTAACAAAACTAGACTTAATCTTTCTTTTGATTAATTTTATGTATCATTCTCTGTTAAAAGTTACTGAATATCAAATGGACAGCTACATCTTCAATCTGTGACTAATATTCACATATGTTTGCCCTCCTGCTAAAGAAAGAGGCACTCTGGATTTGATTATGTTTCAGGCTTTTCTGGTATCCTGCTTCTAGTCTTAACCTTCTGGAGGCCTAATGGTCACATCGGATACTCAGACCACCAGAACATTCTGCTTCTGTCATGCCATTTACAACTGTGGAAGCAAAACATCCCCACTCCTGCCTCCCAAGTTGACAAAGTTTATCTAGATAGGTGAACCAGTCACACTGAAATAGCTTATTTAGGAACTGACCAGTTCTTCTGGGACAGAAGGCTTTACATGTATATTTGCTCCTATAGCATACTTTTAGAAAAAGTTCTGCACAGACCTCAAAAGTACAAATATTGGGCAGCTTCTTGAAAAAACAGAGTCTGTTTTCCTGACTGTTCATATTGTCTTAAGAAATTTCCCACTCAGTGGCAATCCACTACCTTAATGTCCGTTTCCCCAAAAGCAAGAGCCAGTAGTGGTGCTGTCTTTACTGGAAATGGCTTTACAGTCCCCCCAAAATACAGCTTTCCAAAAAAGTAATCCCTCCTAAAACAAAACTTGAGAATATAGTTACAAAACTGGTAAAAAGGCTTATTTCTTTTCAGAAATCCCTACTCCTTGTGAACTCTGCTTGAACCTAAAAAGCAGGAATGGGTCATAAATCACTTGGACAATGGTCAACTGTTCAGTGGCTCATCTTTTCGATCAGCCCCTCACCCTTTTTTTAAAAGCCTTTCTTTTCTCGCCCTTTGGTACCTTTGCTCATTTGGGCTCCAAGACCAAAATGCCTTGGGGTGAAGATGAGCCAGTGTGGGGGAGGGGTGGTAGAGCAAGGCCACCTTATTTCTTCCAAGTCCTCAGCTGCCATTTCCTCTCCCTCCTCTTCTCCTCCACCCTTTAACCCGGGGAACTGGCCAGGGCAGCCTCCCCAAACGCTGCTGGCGGCCGTCCCCTGCTCCTCCGGGGAAAGGGGTGCCAAATAGGTCTGGCTCGCCCTTTCTTCCGGTGATGGGAAATTGCCCCACTCAGCTTGGAGGTCCAACCGCAGGCCCGGAATACAGGGCCTAACGGTCTCCGCCTGGAAAGATGGTATTCTCTGAGCGGCCACCGCCCGCTCCCCCGGCCCCGCCGGCCTGCCTCGCCCGCTGCGCCTCCAAAGCAGCCAAGCCCTGATACTTGCTCACCGCACTTAATTCTACCAGAGATCAATACCTAATATGATACCGAATAAATAAAAGGCGCTCACAGCGACCAGGGGACGGGGTTATTAAGCAGCTGGAGCTCTCACGGTGCATATCAATGCACCTGTCATTGTGGTTTGTAGCAAAATTTATGACTGCGACCACGGCGGCAGTAAACGCTTCAGTAAGGAATGAAAAGAAAAACACTTCCCAAGGCCTGGCACTTTTCAGAAGTGGAAAGCAGGCTCCGCGTAGGAGGCAGCGCAGCAAAAGAATTCCCTACTCCGCACTTTTCTCGCTCTCGCTCGCGTACCCTGCGAGCAGCGGGATTATATAAAGTGACCGGCGCCTGCCTCTGCTAGCAGCTCTGCTCCGAGGCCGAGAAGGGATGAACGCGCGCAGCCTCGTCGGGGATCAAAAATCTGCTGCCCGCAGTGGCCTCAGACGCCGGGAGGCTCGTCCGACTCTTGGAGGCAGGCTCGGCGCTCGCTCCTGTGCCGGTGGCGGTGGAAAGGCTGAGGGTGCTTGGGAAGGGAGGGGGCGCCAAGCGCCAAGCTATGGCTGCGATCATCGTAAATCACCGATGGGTAGAACCAGCCCATGCACGTTTAAAGAGAGGGGGAAGGCGATGGAGGTTGCGGTCAGTTTCTCTCAAAATCCGCTAGGGCTCAAGTAGGTCTCAGCGCCTCTCCCTGTTTTGCCTAAACCAGGGTCAGAAGCCCACGGATCTTTCTGGCGGCCAAGACTTTTGCTGAGCATCCCCATGCATTCACTGGAACCGAGAAACGATTCTCCCCTTCCTATTGACTTTGCTACTTCGGGATTCGAAACCGCTGGTTTTCGGGTTTGATCGAAAGGGGACTTTACGTTCTGCCCAAGTTCCTGATCTCTAAGTTTGAGCCTCTTTTGCTCTATAAGAAGCCCTGGATGCACTTTCTAAATCACTCTCATTTAGCCCAGATAACTTAATACTGTAATGCACCCTGTATTTAAGGCACTGGGCTGGCCCCATTAAAGCGCCATAAATTTAAAGGCCAATAATCGGTTTTCATGTAACGGGCGGCAGTTACCGGCGGCAGTTCCTACTGAAGTGACCCACTTCAAAGCTGCCCTTTGTTCTATGTCTTGATGTATGAATTTTGAGATGGATACCTTGAGTTGCAGGACAGATGGAAATGTAGTGGAAATTTTTTAAAATGATGCCCACTCACCACAATTATGTATGTGTGTGTTTTCTTGAATTTTGTCTTTAACTCTTTTTTTGTAGGCTTTTCCGGTTTCTTTTGATATCTGTGGAGGCGGATCTGGAACAAAATGGAAAACTCAGTAGCAGTCGTTTCTGCTTACAAACACTTACATATTGAAGGGCTTTTCCCACTTTAAGGGCGTCACAGTCAATATTACTATTGTATACGGTACCGTGGCCATTCAGACGCCTTCTCCCCAGCAGAAAGCAGACTCAGTTGGCTCCTAGGGAGCGAGGGCCACTTTAATGCCAAAATCCATGGCTGGATGGGGGAGGGAAGGGCCCGGACCTGAGGAAAGCAGCCAGACCCTCTAGCCAGGGGGTGAGCCAAGTGGGTCAGAGGTGCAGGGAAGCTAGTCTGCTCTCCTCATTCCCCCACCAAATTCTAAATGCTCCTCCAGGTCTCAGTCCTGGAGGCCAAACACCCTCCTAGGGGCAGAAGAGAGAATAAAGGTGGGGGTTCGGCAGGGGAGGCTGCAGACAAGCGTATGAGGAAAGGACGGTAAATAGGCCTGGGTGAATCCTGGTCAGGGGCTGCCCTACAGAGCCTCAGTGAAGAGGGTGCTGGGCACTAGCTAGTTCCTGGTTTGTACATTAAATATCTGTTGCTTTCCCTGAGTTTATTTATTCCGGTAAGTATCCACCACACTGTTGGCCCTGGGCTGCCCACTTCTGGGTCAGGATCAGACTGCAAATCGCCTAAGAAACAAACATGCTTTCCACCCACACCCAAAGCCACAGACCAAGCTCCCCCACCACTGTCACCACTCAGCCGGTGCCCACCCCATCAGGTGAAAGAAGAGAGACAGAGTCCCGCTCTTGCATCTGCCCTGTGCAATTTGTCGACTCAGTAGTTTGCAAACACTAAACTACACCCGGGAAAGCCTCACACAAAGCGTTCCCGGCGCTTCTAAAGACTAGAGCGCGCAGCCATAAGCCTTTGAAGTGACCTTTGGCTCGCACCGCAATAACTCACCCCTTAATGAACACCCAACAGAAGCGTCTCGAAGAGATCCCAGCCCGGTAGGGCTCCTAACTTCGCGCAGCGGCTTCAGCTTCCCAGCCAGCCCCGACCCAGGGGGACACGCCACTCGCCCGCCCCTCTTCCCCAAGCTCTTCTGGCTGGGCCCGGCCCTGAGGGTGGTGCGGAGGAGGCGCTAGGTACCAGGGCTCTCAAGCCAGCTGGTCCTGAAAGCTGCTTTATATAATACATTCACGTGGGCGGACGTCAACTTTCGCCGCTTGATTATTTTTATTTATTTATTTTTTTAAAAAGAGTTCTTTAGAAGTAGGAGCATCCCCTCAAAAAAAGAGCTAAGTTGGGAGGTCACCTGGGGCCGCCAATCCCTTACGCCCCTAGCTAGATTTTGTTTTTCTAGCCACGGAGAAACAGGGTAAGTTTGCGCCTGGGCGTCCGGGGGTGGGGGCTGCGGTGTGCTGTGAACTGTTGGCATAGGAGGCTTGGGAAGGAGAAAGGAAAGAGGACCCCAAGTTGACTAAAGTCGGCCACTTGAAAAGCCTTCAGCACCTTCTCCCACGCTCCCTAGCCTGCCCACCCACCATCCCACGAGGGCCCAACTTTGTCTGCTTGCTTGCCCAGAGTCTCAGCCTTAACCTGGCTGGCTGTGGGCCACCAGTACTGGTGCCCTTTTTGGAGCCCAAAACGGGGAGAGCAGGAGCCAGCCGCATGGGCGAGCTGTCAAGGAAGAGCTGAGTCCAAGCGACCCCAATCCTACACCTCATCCCTCAGCAGCACCCCAGGAAAACTCTTTAGGATAGGGCCAGCATGGAGCCTTGGTGGGGATTATTGAAATTTTCGGGGGAAGTTATAAGTGAGTGCTCCATGGGGCCAAATGAAATGCTGCTCGCGGTAATTGGATTCAGCTGACTAATCTGGCAGGCGCGCAGCTTCAAGGCAGCTAGCAAAGAAAAATGTCCAGCGACTCTAAGTTCTGATGGAGCCAAGCGCAGGCAATTGACAAAACAACTTTTCTGGTCTCCTTTGATGGCGAAGCGCCTGGAAGTCGGTTCCTCTCCTGCTAGGGCCCGTCCCAACCTAAGGTAAGGGAGTCCTCCTTGCTTTTGAGGTTCCTTCCCCATAGGGGTCCAGTTGGGTCTGGCCCAGTGGCATTCCCGTGAGCATGGAACCACTCAGTAGAGCTCATGGAGCTGCTCACTCCATCCCTGGCCCGGAACAACCCGGGATGGGTTGTCTTCTCCTCTCCCAGCCAGGAGTCACAGGGAGCAAATAAACAAAAGGAGAGATGGGATTCGGGAACCAATATATGATTTAGCGTTCATTCAGGGTTCCTTGGGGAGAAGGACCCAGAAACCCTAAACCTTTTCTCTGCCACTATGGCAATCGAAAGCTTAGATTGATAAAGGGAAGTGTGGAGGAACCTCCCAAACTCTTCTGGGTAGTTTGGGGGTTCTCTCAAATGTGGGAGGGGGAGCACAGTAGCATTTTAATCTCCCAAGGAAAAAAGCCAGCAGCAAGAGGTAAAGCCTGAGTGTGGAGCTGCTACCCGAACAATGCAGGGAGCTGGCTGGCCACCGAGTTTATTTTAAATTCATATAAATCAACCCGACTGCACCCAGCCCAGCAGCCGAAGACACACAATTAATATGACACTCCGTCTTACTTTGGCAGTGACCATGTAAAAAAAGTTTTTTTAAAAAATTTCTTTTTCAGTCCATTCTCCTAACTGCACATTTAGCCCCCAAATATTTCCTCCAGCCCCCAGTCACCTCACCTCCTCAAACTGCAACTACCACCCCCAATGCTGCCGGCCACCCTCCAAGCCTGGAAAGGTAGTGTCCTCCTAACCCTTTGGTAGGCGGGGAACGTCCCCACAAAGCGCGCCTTGTTACGATTAATCACCGTCCTCGATGTATATGTAGCAGTGTATCTAGGTCTACGCGGGCTGCCTCACCAATTGGCAATAATCAAGATCACAGATTACACAAAATAAATCATATTTAGTATCCCGCTCAGGGCAGCAAGCAGCCCCGTGCCCAAAGATTTCCATTTTGTCATGCAATTGCTTACCTGGATCCCAATTTATCATAAACCTGGTGTCCTCGGCCTCAGAGTGGGCGCCAGTGGGGGGCAGAGCTAGCCTTCCCCCTTTGTCTGCAGACAACACTGTCCCAACCCTGGTCTTGCGCGCTTGCAGACGCGGCCATATACTCGAGCACACGGAATTCCCGGTAGAACGGAACCAGGCTGAGGTTCAACTACCAATAAACGCAGGAGGAACGAGTTCTTAGTCCCCGAGCTGGCTTCGCCTGCGCTGCGCGCCCATCGGTCCACCCGCCCGCCCGCCCGCCCGTCCGCTCCAGGGCCCAGAGCGGCGGCCACCCGCGCCCCCACCCACTCCTGGGTTTCTGTCCAGCCCTCCCAGGACCCCCAGAGCTTGGGGTTTGTTTTGCTTGCGGAACGTGGTCCTTTCTGGATTTGGAGAGAGCCCCGGAAACCCCCTCAAAGTCGGGAAATACGGCCGCTGCCTTCAAATGCAAGCATATTTGTTCACGTGACCCCGAGAGAAGATTGTACTGATTGAGGCTGAAACTTTCACGCCACCCAGCCCCGGAGCGCAGCCAGGCCTGGGGGCTGGAAGGGAGGCACAGGAGGCTTGGGACCTGGGCCGCTTCCCTGGGGCAGACGCGGATGGGTGTGGGGCTGAAGGAAAGAACTCATTCTCACTGCTCCTGGCCGACTCAGTCTAGGCCTGGACGCCCTCAGTGGGTTGGGGGCGTTGAGAGTCTCTCCCCACAACGACCTCTGACCCTGGCTGGGCCTTCCGCCAGACTGCTCCGGGAGTTGGAAATTTTAGAGGCTGCCTCTCTTAGAGGCGTCTCTGGAGACGGCTGTGGAGCAGCAGAGGCTCAGGGTACCCCTAGCTCCCTGGCCCCGCAGAGTACTCCGCATCCGCACTGACCCTGGCAAGGCGGCCTCTCCGCCGCCTAGGCCGACGCCCCACTCTCCTCCTCCCAGGGCGAGGTGGTTATGTGGTGGCACAACACCTGCTCTGATCCTAAGGTGGAAGCCGCGGCTCTCAGCACTGGCGGTCACCTCAGAAAATCCTGCCACTACCACCACTCCCTGGCTCGTTCTGCAGACTCGGTCTGCAGCAGCCAAGTCGCTGCCACTTCTGAGACAGAGAAGGCGCGCGGCAGGCGGCCTGGACCCAGAACGACCTCCTCTCTCTGACCCCTGAGCACCCCAATCTTGTCCTTCGAGGCCTGGAGACGGCTAGGCGCTGAGCCACTGCCCGCCGAGATCTGTGTGACTCCAGATCTGGACAGGACCCGCAGATCCCATAGGCCCAGCGACCGCGAAGCCGAGACTTCCCGCTTCCTGCGGTGCCTCCAGGAAGGCAAGGAGGACTGCGGAATGAGTCCTGGCTGGGCTAACCTGGGGGACGATGAAACTTTTATTTTAGAAATATTCAATCGAGACAGATTCCCACCACTCACCGAGTGGCTGGTGGGAACAATTTTGCAATGTGGGAAAAAGAATTAAGCGTGGCAGGGCCAGCAGCCGACCTCCTGGCCTGTAATGAGCGCCCAAGGCCCTCCCAAGCCGGGCCCGCGCTCGGGAATCCCGCACCACTGGAAACTCTCCATCCTATCCCCGAAGTCTTGGTTTCGTTGCCCACTCTGCTTTTCAGCGGCATCAGGCGCAGTGAAATGCTCTGTTGCTGATTGCAGGGTCTGAGACCGGCGAAAGCGCCCAGCAGCCATAGACGAGCACGGGAGGAGTGGGTAAGGTCCACCGCATCCCCACTACAGAGGCTCAGGAATGTCCTGGAGGCCCGAGCCCCTCCTTTTGTTCACCTGGCCGGACCTGGCCAGAGGCCCACTCGGGGAGTCTCTGTCTCTCGAAGCCGGATCCTGGGTGCCCCAAGCCCACCCCCCACCCGGAGGACTCCGCCCCCTAGCCTCCTGCCAGAGGCCGAGCCGGTGGCACCGCAGCAAGTGTTAATCCCCAGCCAAAGAGGGGGGCTGCTTTGCGGGAATTTGTCTCCAGGAAAGGATCTAAGCCTTCTTCAATCG